TGTTACAGACCACACCCCCAAAACTATTCCTGCCTTACTGACTTAAAGGAGACGTCCGCAGGATAGAGCCCGCTTTATTCTAGAGTGTCGCATGGTCACATGATACCACGGAAACGCACACTGATCATCTATTAGAAGAATGTTGCAGCATTTGCCGAGCCGTCAACCATCTCACCTCCATCAGAAGAATGACTTCCATCCGGGATCTGCAGCCGGTAGAGTCCAGGTCCATATACTGCGATGCCCGTACAGTCCAGGTCCATATACTGCGATGCCGGTAGAGTCCAGGTCCATATACTGCGATGCCGGTAGAGTCCAGGTCCATATACTGCGATGCCGGTACAGTCCAGGTCGATATACTACGATGCCGGTAGAGTCCAGGTCCATATACTACGATGCCGGTACAGTCCAGGTCCATATACTACGATGCCGGTACAGTCCAGGTCCATATACTGCGATGTCGGTACAGTCCAGGTCTACATACTGCTCTAAGGCCTGGTTCACACCTAGGCGTATTGCATATGCGAGTCTGTCGTGCTGTTTTTTTACCGCAAAAACGGCCCAAAGTAGTACCTGGACCTTTTTCAGGCGTGGGCCATTTTGTAGCGCGTTAGGGACGGGCGGAAATACGGCAAGGTGGGAACCAGACCCATTGACTACAATGGGATTTAGATGTTTGAGCGTTTTGTAGAGCGTCCGTCGAGCGCAGAACGCGCTACAAAACGTTCAGGTGTGAACGAGGGCTAAGTCTGCTGTTGCTGCTGATGTCACATCCAAGATGGCGGCACCCAGAGGCAGTCTCGGGCCTTTTCTATGTCTGCAGAAGGGAGGATTTTACAGACATTAATGGACAGACATCACATAATCAGACCCGGTCACATGGCTGGACCCCAAAATGTATACTTAAAGAGGAACACTAACAGAGATTTATCTTCCAGGAAGCTTCTGCTGGCGGGATGTGCGAGCGCAGTACAGGCCGGTCCTCGCGCCACGGATCGCCTCCAATGTAACAAAATGTGATTTTGCCTTTCCCCCGATAATTATTAAATAAGAAATAATAATAATTCATCAAATGAATAATAAAAATAATTATTAAAAAAATAATATAATAAATAAAAGAACAAAAACAGAATTTATTACAACAGGTAAAAATATGTCAAATAAAGAGGAAATAAGAATCACTCACAATGTATATACAGCGTCAGCATTTCCTCCTTTCCACAGATCACATGACTCCCCCGATAATACATTTATCTTTCTTCACCATCCTGAACTGAGGTGCCATCTTGTCACATGTGCTGCTGTGGCGGTACTACAGCCTCTTGTCACATGAGTATTATTCATGTAGGCCTTTGCAGGGTAGGTAAGGCCTCGTTCTCACCTGACCCTTCCTAATCACAGATGAGCGCTGACCCCGGCCATACATGTGACAACCAATTCATACAATCAAAAGTGAGTGGAAGAGAAATGGTGACGAGTTCCACCGACAGGCGAACTTCCATGGATTGTACGGACTGAAATCCATGTCATTGATTGAATGATTGATTGCGATCTGATAGAAATATATCGGAAATAGGGAACTCATCAATCAGTCTGATAGAAAGTGATCAGATTCTGACGCGGACAATCTCCATCTCCATCGCTTCCAATCTGATGGAATGATCGGATTGCTGCGTCCGGGGCACCAGAATAGCGTCCCACCAGAATAAATCGGGATGAAATGCAGGAACGCGGGGCCGATGGGTGCCCCCCTCCTCCTGGGTGCCCCCCTCCTCCTGGGTGCTGGGTGCCCCCCCTCCTCCTGGGTGCGCCCCTCCTCCTGGGTGCGCCCCTCCTCCTGGGTGCCCCCCCTCCTCCTGGGTGTCCCCCCCCTCCTCCTGGGTGCCCCCCCTCCTCC